TGAAAAAAGAAGAGAAAAAGAAAGAGAATGGGATAGGAAAAAAAACACACGATCTAACACCTCTCAATAAAAGCACCAATGTTAAAGATCGTGTGTTTCGATTGCCGATAAGCCGCTAACCCGCGCCTTGAATCGCCGATAGGTGTTTCTCTAGCAACAACCGCGCCTATTGAAATGAATAAAATTGCAATAGAATTTTGGTGAAAAAAACTAAAGCAAAGTGGAAGAACAAAAGTTCAGATTTCTATTGATAAAATTGATGATGAAAAATAACATGGGGAAGGGGCCTTTTTATAGGCACAAGATATGCCTAAGTCTAATCTACCTAGGGAACTAATAAAGCAATAAAATATTAAGTGTCCTAATTAAGCTAGAAATCATAAAGCTAGTTGGAAACTAAATCTCTTGGTGTGCACTCCAAGTAATCCCTCTCTCTCTTATTCTCTCTCTCTCTCTCTCTCGGCCCTTCGCACCGCCCTACCGCGCGCCGCCTCGCACGCCCTAGTCCTCGAGGACTAGGGCACCGCCCTTCTCCGCGCGTGCATACCACCCGGCTGTCCACATGCCTTGAGGTATAAGGCCTCAAGCCCCGCGCGTTCCTCCCATCGCGCATTGTTCGCGCCCGCGCCCGTTGCTCGCGTGCTGCGCTCCACCGCTATGCGTCCCGCGCGCGTCGTTTTTCTCGCGCGCGCACACATCTTCGCCCTGCGTGCCTGCCGTGCATGTTGCCCGCACAATATCGTTAGCGAGCACCTGTTCGTCCATCTTCTGCTTATTTTCGCTCGCCTTACGCTCACTACACTCAAGTGCGCACATTTCCGATGTCCCTCGCGCTAGCCTTTTGCGTGCATGGTAAGCGCGACTTGCAGTGTTCTTGAGCTTCCTAGCCACTTCCACATCATGCGCGCCCGACCTGTTCGCGCCCCGTCTGTGCGGGCACAGGGCAGTGGAACAAGGCCCACAACTATAACTCGCCTTATTAGCCTTTTCCTTGCGCCGCTTCTTGGCCTTGCGTTTTCTAGCCTTCAATTTTGACCTTGGACCACATCATTTTGGCCAATCTCTCACACATGAAGGACGATATATTGGACTTCGTGGTTCCTCCAACATGTTTTCCAGCCATATATCGAGGTCCTTTTCAGTCTCATCCTCCACCTTGCTAAAATCGATGACCACTTTCGTATCACGCTGCGCCCGCGCGCCCGTCCCTGCACGCGTGTCTGCACGCACACTGTTCCACTGTGCCGCGCCTGCGTGCGCCAGTGTGATGACGGATCGCGATTTCTATCTATACGGGTGTGAATAATCCCGCACTCAGGGCCTTAGTCGGGACCTTCTTGAATAATCGGGACCTTCTTGAATAACTGACTACCTTGCAGCTCATGTCCATTGGCCACCTTGACACCAAACTTCTTGACTTTTGTAGGTACCAATTTCAGCTTTCGGGCTATCCCCTCATCAATAAAATTTAAACTCGACCCGCTATTCACCAGTAACTCTAGCAACATATCTTTTATCTCAGCTGTGAATCTGATCATCCTAGGACCACGCTTATTGCACTTAACCATATGCAACCAAGATTCTTCCTGTGGCTTTTCTTCCTCATGTTCCTCCTCAATTTCCAACAAATAGACCTCCTTACCTTTGCATTTGTGGTCTGGCGTAAATTTCTCGTTGCAAGTAAAGCACAAGCCTTTCTCTCTTCGCCTTTGAATTTCATCCTCGGTTAACCGTCGTAAACTTCTTGTTGTGCATGTACCTTCGCCAATCGTCGATTTAACCTCGGCCCGTGGGGGTGTATCGTCGACCGCGACCCTCGCGCGTTGGACGTCCGTGCGCCCCTCGTTCGGCCTCGCCTTGCGCACTGCCGCGAGATGATCCTCGTGCAGCCGTGCTGCTTCCATGGCAGCCCTTGTCGATCTTGGCCTATCCAATCGTACCTCAGCAGCCAACTCCGCCTTCAAACCTCCGACAAATGCACCAACTAGTGCACTCTCGGGCCAATCGCTTACCTGACTTGCTATCCTTTCAAATTCCTTCTGATAGTCGCGTAGACTACCAGTCTGGCGTATCCTTGTCAAGGCCTCATCATAATCAAAATAATCGCTAGATCCAAACCTGGCAATCAGCTCCTTCTCAAAGTCTCGCCATCTGATTTGCTCACCTTTGTTTTTGTAAACATGTGACACCCATTGCCACCATGTGTTGGCTTCACCATCCAAGTAGTAGGCAGCAATTTGAACTCTTTCAGACTTGTGTACCTCATTGATCTCGAAAAATTACATGGCACGACTTAACCATGCATCCGGATCTACTCCTTCGAACGTCGGCATCGTAATCTTCGGCCTTGCACGTATGTGCTCCTTGCGATGATGCCGATAGCCGTGCGTCATTCGACCACCGTGGTGTTGGGTAGTGCGCGTCGCGCGCGTTCCCCGCGACCGTTCGTCATCGTCATCGTGACTAGACGCCGAACTGCCCGTTCCCGCCATGGTTGATCTCGATGTGCGGCTCCTCCGCGTATGGTGGTTGACTCTCTCGAGCTGTCCCGCCAAGTCGTGTATCATAAGCTCCAACTTTGCCATATTTTCATTGACCACGTATTGTCCGTTGCCAAGGGACCTCACGCTTTCTTCAAGCGCATCGAATCTCTCACGATTCGTCATGACTCTCTTTTTTTCTTTTTAAGACTCTAAAAATTTCGAAAATAAAAGAAAGAAGAAATTCGAATAAATTCGAATCAAAGGGAGGAAAAAATAACAAAGAACTAGATGACACATTTTTTTTTTATACTCACGAATTTATTTTCGAAAATTAGGGATAAAATTCGAAAAAGTTCGAACAAAAAGAACCAAAAAATCGAAAAAAAGAAAAAGAATGGGATAGGAAAAGTTTAACGAACACACAATCAATCACTCTCAATGAAAGCACCAATGATGAAAGATCGTGTGTTGCGTTCCACTCGTCTTGTCTCGATCACGGCTTCGCCACAGCCTTGCTCTCAACGATAGGTGTGATCGACTCGGTTATTAGCCTAACATTCTCACGATACTAGAGTTCACTTGGTTATTCGATTTGTATGATCGAACTCTCACGAATCCTAACACACGGTTTCGAACAACGTTCTTTTCTATTCAACTCATATTTACTGCCCACAAAAACAATGAGGGATGCTCCCTATTTATAGATCCTAGACTAGTCTAATCCTATTCCAACCAAATCTCTTATTCTATGCAATAAATAAATCCTAATACTAGCAAATCTCTAATTAAAGTAATAAAAATTAAATAACCTAAACAATCTAGATATTATTGTGCAAGAAGGAAACTAAATATACTAGAGTCCTAATTGACTTGATTGTCTTGATCTTGCTTGGATTGCACTCCAAACAATTCCAAGTTCACACCCAAGTACTTCGGCTGCCTTCCATCTCTCGCGCGTCGCACATGCGCGCGCCGCCCTAGCACTCGTACTCCTCGGCGGCTTAGGTCTCCCGCGCGCCTTCCTCGCACGCGCGTCCATGCATGCGTCCAGCCTGTGCCCCAACTCCTCGCCGATTCCTACCGCGCATAGGCATGCGACAGTCC